CTGCCGCGATGGCCTGAGTGGTAAGAGACAGTACTAGTAGACGGAGCCTCTCAACCTCTGCACTATCGCCATTTGATGCTGAATAATTATCTGTTGGAGAGTTGTGGAGGGTGTTATACTGTGCATTGTGGAATGCTTAGCAGCATCCCTGGCCTCTAATCACTAAAGGACAGTAACCTCTCCCCTCCTTCAGTTGTGAAAAACAAAAATGCCTCAGAATGTCCCCAGGAAGGCAAAATTGCTCCTAGTTGAGAATCAGTGCAGAAAACAAAGGTCAGTTTTCCCTAAAGGGAGGAGGGGAAGAGGGTTTACCATGATACGTCTCCAGCTTAAACAAGATTCTTTAATATCATTATAAACCGTATGTTCTTTATTGTTATTATGAGGAAAGTTAACATCTTTCAGTTCTCTAGTAGGACTAAGACTCTAGTTAAAAAAAATGACTTACACATTCTAGATCGGGAATTGTCTTTTCTTTTCTTTTTTTAATTTTTTACATCTAGTGAAAACTGCACACAATAAATTCTACACACTGAAAAAATACAAGCCTTTTAATGTAAAGAACAAAGAGATTTCTGAGTTGAATCACACAAATATTATTTGCTGTAGGCCATGTAATGGTGCACTGTAAGTATAAATTATTTGCAACCAAAGTGTATGATAATTCCATAAAGCGGCCACACTCTACTTTCAAATAATACTTCTGGAAGGAAAAAGTCAAATGTGCTTTACCCCACAGCCAGATATAAAACTGTTGAAATAAATTCGTTGCTGGTTTCTTTCCCTGGAGTTTCTTAATGCATTTCTACAATGGGCAATATTATGCGCTGGACTGTGCCCTGTGAATTTTTATGTTGAAGGCCTAACCCTCATATCTTAGAATATGACTGTATTTGGAGATAGGACCTTTAAGAGCTAATTAAATTAAAATAAGGTAATTAGAGTAGGTCCTAATCCCATTTGACTGGCATCCTTATACAAAGAGAAAGATACAGCACAAATGACTCAGAGGGAAGGTCACTTGAAAGTACAGTGAGAAGACAGCCATCTACAAGCCAAGGAGCGAGGCCTCAGAAGAAATTAATCTTGCCTCCACTTGGCCTTGAACTTCTAGCCTTCAGAATAATCAGAAAATGTATTTCTGTAGTTTAAGTCACCCGCTCTGTGGTACTTTGTTTTTGGAGACCTGGCAAACTAATATAAGCAATTTTCCATCTTCTCCTGTTGATGTGCTATAAAGGCCTTTGGGCTTCTCCTTCCCCGCTTAACTGCTCATCGGCAGGTAACAGCACCACAGTACTTCTATGATGTGAATAGAATTCAATTTCGAGATGAATGATAAAAGTACTAATTTAACTCACATTAGAAAAGTTTCCATGAAGGTATTTATAGATACTAGAAGAAAGAGAAGTGTGGCTCCTCTGAAAAATGATGGGCAGCCGATGAAATGGGACTTTCCCAATACTCCAAATACAGCCTGGAAGTTGATCTCAGCCTTCTCTAAAGATGCTCTGAGAAAACAAACCTATTATCACTTTGGCAATGACAGATGCCACTCTCAATTTTAAAATACAGCTCTGTTGCTTCCTAGCTGAATCCTCATTTTTCATGCCTAAAACATAGGGTATCATAAATTTGTTCAATATGGTTGCTGCCTTGGCATCCATTTTTTTTTTCTTTTTTTCCTTTTGGTTTTAAAATCTCTACAATATTTATTTACCTATTTATTTATTTACTTCTTTATTTATATTTTTTATAGATGGGGTCTTGCTTTGTCACCCAGGCTGGAGTTCAGCAGTGCAGTCATAGCCAACTGTGCCTCAAACCCCTGAGCTCAAGTGATTCTCCCACCTCAGCCTCCTGAGTAGCTGGGACTACAGGCATGCACCACCAATCCCAGCTAATTTGTATTTTTATTTTTTTGTAGAGACAAGTTCTTACTATGTCGCCCAGGCTAGCCTCAAATTCCTGGATTCAAGCAATCCTCCTGCTACAGGTATGAGTCACTGTGCGCCTGGCCAGCATCCATTCTTAGGCCTAACAGAAGTTGTTTGAAAGCCTGTTGTATCCTGTCACCTTTGGCCTACTAAAACTTCCCTCCCTGTGTGATTGTTTGTGATATGTTCCACTTGTTCCTCATCCAGCTGACCCCAAACCCAATACACTCCACAACTGCTGATCATGGTAAAAATCTAATAGTGTCAGAATCATCAAAGTAAGTTCCTGCTTCCTGAGTGTTTTCTTTAAACTAGCCAATCCACAATCCCCATGGGAAAGCCTAAGGGGTGGTGCATACGGACCTAATAAAGACAGTCCCCAGGTGCTCACTCTCTCTTGCTCCCCCCTTGCTGGCTGGGCTCCCTGCCACCTCCAGGCTTCCTGTTGGCCTCCTGTGGGCATCCCTCACCTGTCTACCTGTGAGTAATAAATGCCTTCTGTTTTGGGCATTTTAGTTCTACTTCCTCACTGTGTCTCCCCTGACACACATATCCTAACTTTTCCCCCAACTCTTTTTAAAGCTCTCCTGGAGAGTGGCTATCCTGGCTTACGGCCATTCTCAAGAGAGAGAAACCATAAGACCAAATTAGAAAAAACCCTAACAATGGAACCACAGCACAGGGTTAATACAGTGCCTCCTTTCTTACAGTGATCATGAAGATTAATGATTTACCCATGTAAAGAAAGGAACGCTGTGGCCGTCTAATCGAAAGCAATTAAAAAATGTTTGCATTATTAGTAACTATTATTATTATGTTATTATTTAATATATTAATTATGATTATTATTAACCATTATTATATTTAAAGATTATATAGTTATGAATTAAACACAAGTTCAAATTAATGACAGGTGAAGTATATTATCTACATTAGTAGTCACATCCCATTATACATCACCCTTATTTCATGTTGCATATTTAGAATTTTCAAATACCTAATGCTTCAACACTGCAGAAATACTCCACAATTTTTGAGGATTTTTACATTTAGTTTAAAATGTACTTACTATTGTAAATGTGGACTGACAATAATTTCCTGAGCACTGTGTGTTTCAAAGCATTGATGTGAGATTGAGGATGATTTCATTATTTCACTTGCTCACGCACTGCAATGCATTTTAAAATTTATTTAAAGTAGCAATTTTTCAAACAATAATTTGTTTGTATAATTATTAATATATTACACTCCTAAAACTGTCTCATTTTCTTTTAAATTTGCAGTGTGCTTTTTGACTCTGCATCATTGGAAATACCTGCTGATAGAAACATTTGTTTCAATATCAATAGATCATAATTATGCAATTATTTTTTATCTTATGTTAGTATGGCTTCCTGCAGACATTTTTTAGAAGACATGAGAATGAATATGATGTCATTATTTCCGAATATCTCAAGGAGTCTAAAATTTATAAAATCTTATCAATTATGATGTAATACTGACAAGACATGAGAATATTTGCTTCATACATCATAGGAAGTCACATTTAAAAATATAATTAACATTTACTTTTAATAATACTTAAAAATACAGGCACCAATCAGCTCAATATTGTTATAAAGCAAATCAAAAGGAAAAATGGAACAAGGACATTGAAACAAAAAGTCATCAGATTACAGCAAGAAAAATTTATTTAATTCAACTCGTCTCAACAACTACTTATCAAATAGCTGTTAAGTGCGTCCACTCTGAAGAACACTGAGATGCTTGAAAAAAATGAAGAAAGGGGAAAGAAGGAGAAGGGGGAGGAGGAGGAAGAGAAAGAAGAGGAGGAGAAAAAGATTATAACCACAGTCCAGTTCTTTATCACATGGGAATCTGAGGAATTTACATTATGTTTCAGTTCGAGAAATACTTTAGTAAAAGCCTTAAATTAAATGCACTTAGCAGATTCACCTTTCAATTATAAAATTAGGAAGAAGAACTTCAAATTACTTAGAAGAACTTAGTCCACTTAGGGCATTAGCAGAGAGCTGACCATCTCTATTGGTTTTTTGGTTTTCTACAGCTGTTCTGGATAGAACGCATCCTACTCTGATCTACAGGCAAGGCATCCTGTTTACTGTTTGGCTCTGATAGATGGCTTAAGAGGATGAATGTGCATCAGCACTCTTTATTCACTCCTTTCCACCTGCCAGAGTCACCTGTGATATGACAAACTACTTCAGATGGAGATGGAAACCTCAAAAGAAAGCTCACTGAAAGGCAAGTACCAACAATGCTCACTGTAGCTTGAAATTTCCTGGAAGCAATTCTTGCCATGGCTAAGCAAAGCACTTTGGACACTGTGACTTTAATGGCACCATAAAAATAACAAGGCATTAAACAAGCCTCAGCCTTAATAGGCTAGAAGAGGAAGAGTGGAGGAAAATATTCAAATAACCCAAATCCAACTAATGGCACATTCAATCGATGTAAATACATTACTCAAGTTTCTCTAATAACCCCGAGGTTTATCCTATTTTCTAAAAAGAAGTGTGAATGACTGCTATTCTCAGACTGCCCTAGAAGTGCTGCTATAGGCACTGAAATTTGGAGTGAGAAACTGGGGAAGGAATAGGGATGGAATGCAGGAACAGTTTGAATTCTGACTATGAATATAAATGGGCTTACAATTTCCAACAATGGTATTTAACAGGGTAGATGCAGGCATGGGGCCCGGCAAACTTACAAGTTGGAGAAGGAATCACAGATCATGTAATTTAGGGCCAGGGGAAGCATCTTTAGAAATCATTTATTAATAATTAGCCCCTCAGTTTTGATGTGAAGCACCGAGACCTAAGAGATGAACTGATTTCCCCAAGACAACACAGTAACCTCTGGGGGTAAGAGTTCCACAGCCTAGATTTTCTGTCACCTTGTTCAGTTCTTAAAAACTATGATACAAGTTGGCAGGGGTGACGGTATGTAATAGTCCTGAAGATGAAAAACAATAGGAATAGAAGTGATGGCTCACTTCTTCAATCCTCAATTTGAAAGGAAACAAGAAGTAGCTTTACTCACCTACAGAGAAAAATTCACTCATTTTCTTTTTGTAGATTTTGAAGTCAACTTCTAAGAAGACACAGAAAATGATCCGATCCACCTAGAGGCAAAAGATAAACACTCAAAGTGAAAACAAAAAATGGCAACTGTCCTCCCAGAACGTCGTCTTAGAACAAAAACAAATGGAAAGGCCTCATACAGATTTTTGGTTCTATACTGCTATCTACATCATAGCATTGAGTGAAGTTCAAGGATGTGTATATGGATGTGACTGTGTGTGTGTGTGTGTGTGTGTGTGTGTACTCTGTATATAAATAAACCTATGGGCTCTTTGGTGGAAAGATGCTATATAAATCAAATAAGAAATAATAAATGACAATGAGCCACTTTGCAGCAAGCTATAAATAAGATCTGAGATTCCGACAGGATACCTAGACTTTATGTCCTATAAAACTGCCACACGAGAGGTATACAGCAGAATGACAATAAAGTATGTCAGTAAACAAAGAGCTCTTTGTCCTACTCTTCCTAGACAAATATATTTATCAAACCTGTTAGTATTTGAACAAGGCCTAAAAGGCTTCCATGTAGCTTAATTGGCATGAAGCCACTTGCTTTTAGTTTAACACACTTGGAAATGCAACAGAAACAAAAAGTAACTAGTTGACAGTGACACAAGGTCAACATAACATTTAATTGTGTAGCTATTATTGAATAAGTAAATGCTACCTCAAAAGTAAAATGTATGCATAGTCCCTTTTTTGTTTTGAGAGAACTTCTGTGTGTAAAGAGTTTCTTGGAAACATTCAGAGAGCAATATAGTAAACGGAGAAGAGACATGGAATATACATAATAGCTCACATATATCTGATTAAATCAGTGACTTAATTTTATGTCCTAGAAATAAATTCCCCTGTAGTTATTTTGTTTTAACAACATAAAAAAATTGAAAATCACTCACTGGCAAGTTGCATAGAACATCAAATGAGGTGTTTCTCATGGCAGTAGGAAATGGAAGTGGGTGTGTACGTGGCAGGACAAGAAAGAACCCCAGTGGAAGTCACCCACCTAACCTCCCTGCTCTCCTAGCCTACGTGATACAGATCTCACTAGTAAGACAGTTCCCAGTAGAAAAGGAGATCGTAATTATTCTCACTTCTGTATCTGCGATTGTTGACTTTTTTCCCCCAGGCTTTACATGATCAGAATATTTCTAAAGTCAACCAATCGATCAAAAATCAAAACAAGAAAATTTGACTTAATGCAGATCTGAGAAGACCAGGCTGAACGGTGTCATTCCTACACATTTCCCCCATACTTTAAATCATTTAATATAAATTATGAAATTTGTTTAACACTCATGTTTCTTGCGTGAGTGTGTATAAATATATGTGTGTGTGTGTATGAGTGTGTGTGTATGAGTGTGTGTGTTTGTGTGTGTGTGGGTAAATGACAATGTTATTCTCTGCTAAGTGTACTTTGTTTGTTTGAGATGGAGTCTTGCTCTGTCACCCAGGTTGGAGTGCAGTGGCGCGATCTCAGCTCACTGCCACTTCCACCTCCCGGGTTCAGGTGATTCTCTTGCCTCAGTCTCCCGAGTAGCTGGGACTACAGGTGCGTGCCACTACACTCAGCTAATTTTTTGTATTTTTAGTAGAGACAGAGTTTCACCGTGTTAGCCAGGATGGTCTCGATCTCCTGACTTCGTGATCTGCCTGCTTCGGCCATGCAGACCATATACAGATATTTCAAATATTAGAGGGAACTATAATCTGCCTTTTAGCATATTAGGCTCTATTACCATGGAAATGATTTAGGTCCAAAACTCAGCAGCCTAATTTATTTTCCCAGAAAAAAAAAAAAGGTAGGGGGGATGGTGACAATGAAACACTTTTAGTTTAAATTAATTGTGTGGCCCAATTCTCTGCCCTTACCCTTAGGCATAGCACGGAAAATGTCTTGGAAGCAAGGTGAATCCAAGAATTAGCCTTATTCACTAAGTACTTATTATGTATGTATATGTGTATGTATTTATATAAGTGTGCACAAACATATTCTCTGGGGTTATTGTTGAACAAGAGCTCATTTAGTTGACAAGCTCTGTGTTTATGAACACACCATGCATACTATCAGTGCTTGTGGCACACTGTGTCTTCCAAGATGGCATGCAATGCGCTTTCCATCCCACAGTTCTTCTCACAATGTAATAATGATACTCCCTTCATTGGGAAATGGGATCCACAGTTATTCCTTGAGCAACACAGCTTTGAGCTGCACAGGTCTACTTATAGGTGGATTTTTTTCAGTAAAAGTTAAGCAGAGCATGCCTGCCTCTTCTGCTTCCTCTTCTACTTCCTCCACCTCTACCACCCCTGAGAAAATATACCTACCCCCCTTCCTCCTCCTCCTCAGCCCACTCAATGTGAAGACAATAAAGATGAAGACCTTTATGATAATCCACTTCCATCTCATGAACAGTAAATATATTTTCTCTTCCTTATGGTTTTCTTAGTAACATTTTCTTTCTCTAGCTTACTTTATTGTAAGAATACAGCATATAATACATGTAACATACAAAATATGTGTTAATCAATCTTCTATGTTATCTGTAAGGCTTCCAGTCAATAGTAGGCTATTAGCAGTTAAGTACCTGGGGAGTCAAAAGTTATACCTGGATTTTTGACTGCATTGGGGATAGTCACCACTTCCCCTCACATTGTTCAAGGGTCAACTGTTCTACCTCTTGAATCTGAGAGGCCTATGACTATGGTAGAAATGATGCTATATAACTTTGCAGTCCATGTGATAAAAGGTGATACAGTTTGTGCCTGGTCTTCTTGGGAGGCTCGCTCTTGCACCCAACAACCATGCCATGAGGAAGCAGAGACACTATATGGATCCAACTATCCTCACTGAAAGTAGGTAGACTTTAGATTATTTCAACTCCAGGCCTTTGAGCCATCCCAGCTAATGTCACATCAGCAGAGATAGGTCATTCCTGCTAAACGCTGATTTCAAATTCATGAGCTAACCATCAAAATACATAACTAGAAATCTGATATTCTTTTAGCTTCTCCCTGTAACTGCTTTTCCAGAATCTCTTGTTTTTCCAGCTATGTAGTACTTGACTCCTACTGAAAAGCCCAGACTGAATACATAAAAAAGGAGTCACAGTGGGATGAGGAGAAAGTCTAATTGTTACATGGCTGAGAGACTGGAAATCTGACTTGCGCAAAGGAAAAAGGGCCCAGATGCCCCAAACTAGCCCCAGATAAATTTCATGAGAACCTACAAGAATGCCTTGCTATTGAGGTCCAGGAGCATGATTTCATTTTTTTTTCTCTTTTTTTTTTTTTGAGATGGAGTCTCTCTATGTCACCCAGGCTGAAGTGCAGTGGCGCGATCTCGGCTCATTGCAAGCTCTGCCTCCTGGGTTCACGCCATTCTCCTGCTTCAGCCTCCTGAGTAGCTGGGACTACAGGTACCCACCACCACACTCGGCTAATGTTTTTGATTTTTAGTAGAGACGGGTTTCACTGTGTTAGCCAGGATGGTCTTGATCTCCTGACCTCGTGATCCTCCCACCTTGGCCTCCCAAAGTGCTGGGATTACAGGCGTGAGCCACTGCGCCCAGCCTCATGGTTTCATTTTTTAAAATGTTAGGCAGTAAAATAATTGTGTGAAATAGTGGTTCTTGAGAGATTGTGTTCGTTCGTTTATTCATCAGATATTAAGTGATCGCTTCCAATTTGTTGCGCCTAGCCTATATGCCATTCACTTATAGAAAACATGAGTCCAGAAATCGAGTGATTTTTTTTCCCCAAGGCCGAAGCAATCAATTAAGGCAAAAACTCAGGTGTCTTCGCTTTTAGGATTTATTTTTAAATTTTTAAATACATTAGAGATGGAGTCTTGCTATGTTGCCAGGATGGACTCAAATTTCTAGGCTTAAGCAAACCTCCTGAGTGGCTTGGACTATAGGAAGATAGTGTATGAATCTCACATCCAGAGTTTGTTTGTTTGTTTCTTCTGTGCTATCACCTAGAGAGATACACACAGAATTGAGTTTCTAGGCCTGTCACTAGCTCTGTTACATCAGACAAGCCATTATCTCTCCTCACGCTGGTTTTTACATCTTTCTAAAGAAAAGATGGAATTATCTCATCTCTATAGTTTTTTTGTTGTTGTTGTTGTTGTTGTTTTTGCTTTCTATGCCTCTGTTACAGTCTATGTCAAAAGTTAGTTAAGCTTAAGTTATATTTCTCTGAATGGTTCTGCATTAGGGCTGGCCACAGAGAAATGTCCTTGAGATTCACAGGGCGGAAGTGCAGTCAGAGACTTTATGTGAGGAAGGTGGTGCAGGGCTTGGGCAGGTCACGCACGCCGTTGTTTATCACATGGGTGTGGAGCAGCAGCTGGCCCCACAGCTTCTCCAGTTCTTGATGGTTCTTCTGCCACACGTTCTTGGAACCAGGCTGGGCACACATGAAGTTCTGCAGCGAGAGCACTGGCTCCTTCGGCAGGACATCGCAGCTTTGAGGTTCCAATCAGTGAGAGACAGATACACTGGCTTGTACATCTCTGTGGATTCCAGTTTTCCCTTGTGAGTTTCATTTGTCTTTGTTCTCTCCTGCTTTGCATGCAGCTTTCCTATTGACAACTTCCTCTTTATCATCTGCCCTGCTGACATACTTCTGGCCCTGTTCGGATGGAGAGGCAAGGGACTTGCATAGACATCTTCACTAGCTCCATTCCATGGGCCCCGGTTAGAAGCTTTTCTATGCAGTCAATCATCCCCTTGTGGAATGTTGCTTTCCCAGTTTCTCCCACAACTGTACAAGATCTAATCCTGGCAATAAATCCATTACCCCCTATCATTCAAGGATTCTGCTTCTCTGACTTAACTCCAACTGACGTAATCTTCAATATCATTTCAGTGAATATTATGTAGAGAAGAGCAATGAAGTACAAAGAATAACAATGTTCCTTGTTAGAGGTGTGCAACCTGTCAAGGCTTCTCAAATTCCAATTACTTCTTTTTCAATGGACTTTTGTTGGTCCTGGCCCATCTTC